TTTTCACATTGTTGCTTTGATGTTCATTTGAACCGTTTGCACTCTGGTCAATGTGTGTTTTCTTGTACTGCTTCAGATTCCATGACTGACTAAAACACATGCTACACTCTGTACACTTGGAAGGTTTTTCCCCAGTATGCATACGTTTATGTCGCTGTAGGTTGGACTGATCACCAAAACATTTAGCACAATCACTGCACTTATATGGCTTCTCTCCCGAGTGCAGTCTTTGGTGTCGCTGTAGATATGATAAACGGACAAAACACTTGTCACACACTGCGCATTTCTAAGGAGTTCCCCCAGCATGTGTAAGTTTGTGTTGTTGTAGCAAACATGGTGACCCAAAATCCTTGTCATAATCACTGCAATAGCCTAGCTTTTCCTTTTCAAAATGTTTCTCCTCATGATGGTGGAGATCTGTGGCAGATACATAACATTTCTCACAATGAGAACATTTATATCTGTGCATACCAGACACTAAGTCTGACAACGACAATGTGCATGTAGCTGATGTATCTTCAGGTTCACACTTGACCATCTTAAGAGCCTAGTAAGAGAATTTCACTGCAAAACAAAAGATAAGTCAATTGATGAAAGACTGCTACGATATCACTATTATAGTATTGATGATACTCTACTTTGTGCAAATCAATGCAGACAGTACTGGAATGTAATATTCTCACATATACCATCTTCTGATTACAATGTATCAGTATAACACATCATCATTTGTAGTACATTTTTTTATAATTTACCACTAGTACATGTGAACTAACACTTAGGCCAGGTTAAAAGGAGTTCCTTGTAATTAACCAGGTGTATAAATGGGTACTGGCAAACTTAACATAGAAGTAATGCACTAGTCAATTGAAACCCCCCCACCCCTTGGGTCCCGGGGAAGAGTAACCTTAAGGGCTTTCGACATTGACCCTGGTCAAAAGGCATTAATATCCCTACCCGCTGAGGCCAGAATTCAGATCAAACGCCCCTACCCCTGAGGCAAGAAAGTTGAAACTATCAAAAGTTTCAAGAAAAAAGAAGTGCATTTAAACGGAGAAATTTTAAAATGTTTGTCTTCCAAGTTTAAATTACTGAATAAAATTTCTTTATTGTTGGAAAGCTGTTTTTGCGGGACTGCAGAAGAAACCAAATACTGCACACCCTAAAATTAAAAGTTATCAAAACAAGCCCAGGCCAGAAATAAAATCAATCTGTAGATAGATTAAATACGTAAGTAATCAAAGAAATAATTTAGCTTGATTGGCTCTTTGTAATCACGAAGTTATTCATTCATTTTTTTTTTGTCTTTTGTTCTTGTTGTATTTTTTCTCTTATAGTATAACGTAAGCTACTGATGTAAATTTAATGGCCATTTATTAATTTTTACCCTATTTTTACAAATTGATGCAAGCCATTGAACTGTAAATACAATTGTCCAAAAAAAAAAGTTTACATGTGTACAGCTTTGATTATAATTATTACTACAATACTGATTTCACACTCACATTATATGTATGTACTGTATGTTTATATTACTGGGGGTGGTTCATTTGACTAATTGTTAGTCAAATGAACCACCCCCAGGGGACAGATTGTTGTTCAAAAGCGAATACAGTTGAACCTCCTGAAAGCGACCACCCAAAATGTCAAGCCTAGGTGGTTGCTTAAGGGAGGTGGTCGCTTATGAGAGCTTAGACTATATTGTGTCAAAATTTTGGCATATGGTAACTGAAGAGACTTACCCCATGTTTTAAATGGTCTATTCGTGTAAAAGTTAATTTCAAGAAAACTGCAGTACTTACCTACATACATACTTTATTGGCTTGTCCCCACGGGGCTTTTCATAGTCAATGTTACTTAATGTTACATTGTTACATATACCAATACTTCCCATTGAGAAATTTCCGTCTCTTGTACTACCCAGAAATATGATAATGTTACAACAGCTTACACTGTATTATCTAATTTCTGCTCTACCATCTGTCAAGTGGTCGCTTAGGGAAGGTTAAAAACAAAAGAAAATTTAAAACTTTTAGTTCTACAAGTGGTCGCAGTTGCTTACGAGAGGTTGTCACTTACAAGAGGTTCCAAATATAGTGACTTGACTTGGAAACTTTTGGTATTTTGGAAAACTGGTCACTGAGGAGAGCTGGTGACAACCGAAGGTTTGACTGTAAATGTCCCTATTATCTCTATCCTTCCCAGGACCTAAGGAGTAGGGGTTTCATGAATTGGCTAGTGCATAACCCTGTGATGGACTAGCATCCCATCCAGAGGGGAGTAGAAATACCCCTAGTTGCTTCATGCTACAGAAACCAGGAAAAGCTCCGGCCTGATGAGCCACTTGGCTCGTATAAGGCAATATCTATCTGGCCTGGTGCCACATGTTCCACACCTGGGTTCCACACAACATCACCATTTCATAGGAGACTTCATACAAGGATTACAAAAAAACAAACCCGCTTTTTTCTCATTTCGAAACGATGATTAAAGGGAGAATGGTTACTTTGTCCTCTTATCTTGTGACAGAAAGAAAAATTTTTGCATGAAAATGGTCTGAAAAATTATAATGTTCTAGCTACAGTTTGTACTTGCAGAATAATTTCTGTGCTTTGTACTGACTTGTACGAAGCAAAAGCACATCCAAGGACTGCTTAATTATGTACAATTACAGGGTTCCAGAAAAATCATCTCAATGTGAGTACCTAAATTACGCACAATTTTGTCTGTTGGCACAAAGTTATTCATTGGTATTCACATCAGCCATCACGGCGTTTGAAAATTACAGGGAAAATGTTTGAGGTACGGTGTGTTGCTGACGCTCGATATAAGCTGATATATATAGCTTAATCATGTCTTAAAAAAGAAGCTTTTATATCAAGTGCAACATCTAGTCCCTATTTCTTCTGCTGAAGCCTGCGGTGGGAATGCACGACGCGAGCGAGTAACCTCTTGTGCGGTCTTTGTACTATTAAATAAAATACCGATGCAGAATCGGGACAAAAAAAGGACTGACATCTGCACAGTTCACCAACTGAAATGGTAACCCTGTACAAAAGGAAACCGACCGTGAAATTCTTACCTCGTTGATCTTTCTGCCTGCACTCCAGAACAAAACTATTCATGCAAGCAAGGCCAAACGGGTAACTATCACGTGACTATAATGGACCAATGGGGAAAAAAACACATGGTAGAAAAAGAAGCGTCACGTTTCAATGACCGCATGTTGACTGCCTATTATCCGGGAAGGGTATTTTTCTGTGCTTGGCAATAAATCAAAACGAAGCGTTTTGTACCCTTTCAAGAAAATGTTATTCTCTGGTTTTATTCAGGTTTTATTCAGGTTACATAAAGCCATCACATAATTTCATGCAGGGAAGATTGCGTGACCAACCAGCCCAAAATCTGGGACGAGTCATTTTTTTTTTTTCTATTTTTTTACAGTGACACCCAAAACCTTTCCTCCTTTCAGGAGAGGCATATCACCCTTTGCACAAGAATGATTTAGTCTTGAATGAGAAATTGCCAAACTCGCAAAATCTTTGGGTAAGTCATAGACCTCTTTTTGCCATATACATGTGGAATGCAAGGCCCCATGCCTGTAACAGTCAACATGCAGGTGATTACAGAAATCATTATGCTGATGAAGTAAGGGGTTCGAAACGTACAAATTGCATACATGTGAATCTTATCTTACCAAGCATGCAGTAGCTGATGGCAATATCTTGTGTAATGAAACACATTTAGCAGGTACCGGTATTATTTATTTATAATTATATGTTCTAAATGATCACACTTAAATGTCTAATATGGCATTGCATTCCAAATGTATTACATTTTCATGTGCTCTTTTCTCACTCACTCACTGATAACATTCAAATAATTTTAAATGTACATAATTCTGAGTTGTCTTTATGTTGTTGCTGGGTCACTGGATGTCTTGATAGTAATTTTTGTAACTGTGATTTATTTCCCCAAAAGAGAATATATAAATTTTTTTAACAATGCTAAAATTATGCTATGACACAAACAAAACACATCTAACTGTACTGTGGATATGTACTGTGTTTACTTGATTAAGTGGTCTCAAGATAAGTGTCACAATAGGGCAGAAATATTAAGCCACAACTGATATGGCGTTTAATTGACACATCACCAGGACTGAAGTTCAAGGAGTGCCACAAAGGACAGCCAATCAAACCCAGCCTCAGAAATTTACTCTCCTGGTTTACAAATTATGCATTTTTTCATTTGAATTTGTGGCTATACTTTGTTAGCATATGCTTGTCATTATTAACAAATGTTTTGATTTTTTAAAGAGTGACACCCTCAAATAAGTGCTTGCCCCTAAATAAGCACCGAAACTGAAATGCTAAAAATTTAAAGAGCACTGCAGCACTCAATTGAGTAAATACAGTACCAAAACAAAGAGGTAAAGTAGTAGTCCGAGGGAAGAATATAGATCAATGACCCCACCCTAGGCACACTAACTTTCAGATCACTACCCCGCTGCCCCAACCAATGAAACTTAAACAAGCTTTTTCAAAGATGTTAAGCCTTCATTCAGCATTGGTTGATTTTATATTTATCTCCACTAATAATGTTATTAAGTGGAGATAAATACTTAGGTTATTATGAATCACAGAACTCAAATATAACAAATTTACTTTAAACATTTGAATTTTCTTAGAAATAGGACCTTCCATATTTTTTTGGGAGCCAAATCTGTTGCTAGTGCTGAAAAAAGCACTGACTTTGAATGCAGTAGCCTGCAAGCACAGACATATTTCCGGCTGTTGCTTGTCTCCGCCGAAAATAACGTCTGCAAACCCGAGCCAGGAAACGATTTCTGTGATGTAGGAATTTTAAGCCAATCACAGTTTAACTCAAGTAGCCCCAGAACTAAGGTATTCGCTGTGAGGAGCACCTGAGTTTCATTCTATCATGGAATCTGATTGGCCAAGGAGAAACAAAAGTTACTATGTTACAGAAATCGTTTCCTGGCTTGGGTTCGCAGACGTTATTTTCGGCGGACACAAGCGACAGCCGGAAATACGTCTGCGTTCGCAGGCTATGAATGCAGTGGAAGCTCTAGTAATTGGACACCTTTGGGACGCAAAAGAGGTGTTCGTATATGTAACTGGGACTGGCCACTTACAAGAATGGTTCTTGTAAGCGGCCACTAGAGTTGTAAGGTGTATATGCCCACTCACAGGTGCTTGCCCAGCTAACAGTAAAGATTGGGAATGCAAAAAATACCACTGTTTCAAATAAGTTTTTGGTTTTTGATAATGGTGATAACTGTAAAAAGGTTAATGTCGTACTATACAAATATACAGATTCTAACTGCAGTATTAACTGCAACACTACATGTACGCAATATACATGGGATTTCCTTTCGGTTGTCCGCCTATGGGAGCTTAAACACAAAGGAAAACAAAGTCTAAATGGTAAGCCCTCAAAGTGTCTGTGGCTGCTTGCGAGAATGTACACTCATGGGAATGAGTAAATACATAGTCTGTATGAGTTCAAATGGGATTTAGCAAAGGTGGTTGTTAGTAGAGCTGTCCGCTTACAAGGGTATCTGTTAAGAGAGCATCCACTGTATTAGTAATGCATTCAAGTTTTGAGTCATGTCTTTCGAAATTGCAATTACTGTTATTAAGCTTGTAGAGCTGAGAAATTCTAGAGATGCTTGTACCCTAGGGTTTATGTATCACAAGTTCAGCTCAAATGTACCTTGAGTTAGTTGTATCCTGGGGAGAGGGGAGAGTTTCATGTATGTCCCCCAGCATACAAATGTATGCAAAATTCCCTGACTTTATGGAACCATATTTTCCCCCTCCCCTGCCCCTTGTTGCAAGAAAGGGCGATCAAAGATATAGCCTATATCACAGCCACTTGATGCCTACGTTTGCCAAAGTATGGCACAAGTGTTAGCAATTCCTGGCAAGTGTCATTTGGTAGCCACATTACAAAAACAGTCCGGGCCTGTAACAAGCCAATTAAAACGCCACATAACACATCACTCAAGTGATGCCTACCAAGTATAACACGTGACGCTGATACACACAGGGCCCATAAGCCAATAAGAATCCTCCAACAGCCATCACTCAAAAATGCTGAAAACAGACCAGCAACCATTGCTGCTCGGGTAGAGTGGCCGGAAGGAAACGAATAATTGTCCACAGAAACTGTCGCAAACATATCCTTTTCGTTATAGATAGGTCGCTTCCGTCGCACAGCAACTTTCAAAGTGCCTACTACGGCTAGATCAAGCATCAGAGCAAGGAGTAAATTGCATGCAAACTCTTGTTTCAAATCTGAGAACATAAGGATGGAAAAGACAGTCCCAGCTATCCACGGAACTCCGTGTCCGCTTATCTCCAAGATTATCATGAGTGTTCTCCATCGTCCAGACGCCTTGTCCGCGCAAAAGCTTAAATTTCCGGACAATGAAATGTCTAAGTTGTGAAGCTTTGCTATCAATCCGCCATTGCTTATGTTGTCCTTAGCTTTTCTCTGTGGGATTTCCTTTCCTTCCCTTGATTTAGATCCAGTCATGTTGGCCTTATTTTGGTGATACTGGTTTGAATCTTTCGGTTTCTTTCGTTGACGGTCCATAATGTCTAGATCATCGAGGTCGTCTTCAATCTGGCGTTACATCGTGAACGATCCGATTCAAGCATAGTCGAAGGAGATGAGCCCGCGGTATAGGCAAACCAACAACGACCCTCCCGAGTATAGAGAGTAGAGTTTCCCTAATTGCATTGTTTTAGATTCTTCTTGGCATTTTAAATAATATGACATCCATTTCACATGTTTAAATAAAACTTTAGAATTAACGAATGCCAAAAAGTAAGAATCTTTGGTATTTCTGAAGTTTTTCGGTGGGAACAAGTTTCCCAGCATCCCTCCCAACGGAAAAGCACTGATCTAGAGAGAGGTTACCTAGCTCTTTTTTGTGCAATCTGTTATTTTTCGTCCTGACTTTGGAGATTTGTTTTCGAAATTGTGAAATCGCGAATCAAGCTATTAAGTAGAGGAAAAAGTAGAAGAAACGTTTCTCTTTTCGCTAAGTTGATCGTGATTTCGGTAATTTTGTTGCTTCTGTCGCGTTGGGGTGAACTCTAGTGACTGCCACGTGGATCGTTGAAAAATGGCCGAGTCCCAATATTTCAGCGCATGACGTGAGATACCGAGGAAACACGACTAATAGTTCCTTTTTATGTAAATCAATCAGCAGTTATGCCTCCCAAGTTTAGTCGAGTTAACGGCGAGGACAGAGGATCTGCAAGACCTTCTGAAAGGGTAAGCACTGCGTAGAAAAATAAGGTTACATAATTCTTTTAATGTCTGGAACACAACGATCGATCGTTTTTGAAACGTCAAATTGATTATGACTTTCCCGTTACAGTAACTTCACGATGGTAGTACGTGTATTGAGTAGCTTCAGCATTTTTCATACTCTCACGGATCGTTTTGGTTGGATTTAAACATGCACTTGTAAGCTTCTTCAATGATTAGCACACGAACAGGCCAGTGCATGTACCTGTAGTTTGATCCCTACCACCGTTTACACACGTACTATCGTTTGAATCATTTGATATTTAGCAACTAATTACTGATCCTGAGGGAAATGGTTAACATTGAGATTCAAGGGAAACAAAATTAACTACATGTAGGGACCAGTCATCGATTTGTTATTTAGCACAACAAAGACATTGAAGGAATTTGTTGCAATGGCAGTCATCAGACGAGTTAACATTTGCAGAAAACAATGCACTGTTACCCTCTGACTCAGGGCTAAAGCTAAAGCTGTTCAGTGGTCTGAGCCAAGTACAGTCGACTCCCAATAACTCGAACCTTCGAGTGAAATTCAAAAAGGTTTGAGTAATTGGGAGTTTGAGTTATCAGGAGTTGAGAACAAATGACTGGAAATAAAGAAAAAAGGGTGTTCAATGTTTTTCTCTTCGTGCAGTGTACATTTTAATCAAATTTAATTGCAGAATAGAGAAGTCAAGTGAAAATAAAACAACACATCTCTAAATAAATATTATTACTCTATAAATCGGAATGTAATGTAATGTGAAAAATATAGCAAAGGGAGCAGGAGGGAGAAGTCCAGGAACTGTGAACTGTACAGGTTTTTTCACACGCTTGCCTCAAAATAAATTTAATGTTTTGGACTAAATGTACAGTACAGTGTTTGTTTTGACTTGTCATGTATTGACAGATATCGTTCGAGTTACTGAGAGTAAACTTATATAGAAAATGATCTGAAGTAAACGAAAATTGCTTCGAGTTAGCGGGAGGTTCGAGTTATCAAGGGTTCAAGTTACCAAGGGTAAAATTAAAGTAAATGTACGATGGAAATCCAGGGGAAATCGATTTTGGTTTGAGTTAGCGCGAGATACGAGTTAGCGAGGGTTTGAGTTATCCAGAGTTGACTGTATATGTTCCAGCCAAACAAGTAACTTTTTATTCTCACTTGCCCCCAAGCCAACATGTACATGTACAGTCATGTAGATCCATAAAAACCAAACTAAGACTTGCTGGGTATCAGTGGCTCAGTGATGCTTTTTCTATGACAGGCAGGTTTGCTTGACGACTCAGATGATGAAGATGGCTCCAACATGTAAGTAGAATGATCCTCTTGTGTCAGAAGTTCTTATTTTTGAAGTGGTCTCTAGACAGTTTGTAACTCTGGCCTGTTGGGTCAAATCTCAACGCACTAACTCTTTGTCCACTTAAATACCTGTAGTTGTTATCCCAGTTATCAGTGGTTTGTCATACAAACAAGGCAAATCGGGTCAAATCTGCCTTGTGAGGACCCTTTCACCTCATTTGTTCAAAAGGATGACTGACTGCAGACTCAATTGCATGAATAATAGCAGCTATTCTTTCGTTATGTACACATATTTATCAATTATGGGATGAGGTTCAGCAAAATATCGTGATTTGTCAGTGGAGAGCAGATCAGTTATTTGCTGAAGCCAAATGCTGAGGCAAATAATCAATCTGCAAGACACTAACAAATAACTATATTTTCTAACAACCAGGTTCAAGAATAGGCCAATTTCAATATATTAGAATTCAACCTAAAACAATAGACCTCAGCACGAGGCTCTTGGGAATACATGTAAACCTCACAAACTCTGTAGTTACATGTATTCCCCAGAGCCTCATGCAGACGTCTGTTGTGTTAGGCTGAATTTTAGTATATTGAAATTGGTGTATTGTTTTTAATTATCATTGGATCACCAAATTTGTTTTCTTATTTAAATCACTCTCTGACAGCTCAGGGGAGCAGTCTGTCATTTTGACCAGAAATTATGGTTGTAATTTGCATGAGCAGAATATCATTTGCAGTAAAACACATCTAGACAGTACTTTGCATGAGTGGACCATTATTTGTAGGCAGTTATTTGTAGGTCATGTGGTTGGTTCTTGGCCAATGAAAGGGAAGAAAAAAAAATGCATGGAATGATACATGTATTTATTTAACTATTGAAAAATTCTATAGAGTTCTGTAGAGATTTAGAGGGTAACTATTAAGCTCTATTTATTTAACACAAATGGTGTCTTTTTGATGTCAATAAATTGATATAATTTGGTTGCTCATGTATAATGGATAATTTTGAAAGTGTTGATCAGAACATATGAGTTATTGACCAAGCATGAGGTTAAGATGGATATTTTTTGTTTAGGGCAATATCTTGCCTTCATGACCAAAATTGTAAGCTTGATCAACAAGACTTAGTGTTTTTTTTCTATAGCATACATGTAAATAATAACATTTTCTTGCAGGAAACAGGAGCTACTGTAATCCTGAATGGGTGAGATACATGTAAGTTGAACATCTTGCCCACTCAGGTAGCCAATGACAACACAGAATTTGATTTATATTGCATGCTAGCGCAGCTAGCCATATTATAAACATGTACATGTATGCCTGTAATAAATTGCACTAATCAAATCTGTTCAATCAGCAATTAATTTTCCTAAAATACCTTTATTGTGTTCTGTCTTGTTAAGTTTTGCAGCACCAGATGGATTCCATCACATAAAACCAAAGCCCACAATGAAGGATGGCATATCCAAAGTCAAATCTGAAATTAAAGGTGTCATGGGAATAATGCAAGGCAATATATCTAAAGTCCTTGACAGGGGTGCGAAATTAGAAGACCTGCAAGACAAGTCAGGTAATGTATGTAGCATGGTGTTGACAGTGTGCATACGTACATGTAATATACAGGTATATTGCATGTTTTGATGGTTATGTTTACTTTGCTGGTAGTGTTTTGGGTTGGCTGTTACGTTCTTGTTTCTAGAAATTTAAAACCCAAGCAGCAGGTACATGAACATTGTTGTCAAAGATGTTGTCAGGACATATGCAGAGCTGTCTTATCAGTTGGATATTTTTTGAAGTGAAATCTTAGATATCTCTCAGATAGACAGCAGGGGTTTCTAGAACGTTTTCAGCAAGATGGAAACTGGTTTTCATGTATTTGAACTGAACTTCTTTATAAGAGAAACTTTTCTCCAGGGGGTCAAACCTGGTGGGAAAGATCATCCTCTGTTGTCTGGTGCCCAGTCCTTAATGAAACCCCTGGGTAGCGGGAGAATTCAGTAACTGAGAGAAAAGATGAAAAACTATCAGTCTGTACTTTTAATAAAATTACATACATGTACATGAATGTGTGCATGTGCAATCATTATGTAATTTATTCTCCTCTCACTCTGTTTGTTACAAAATGAATCCCTTGCTTTTCATTTGGACCATTTTTGTTAGTTGACTTTAGCTTTTAAACTGTTGGATAATTATAACACACACCTCCAGAGATTTTTACAGTGTAATGAGTTATACTGTACTCTTTTGGGTCTCTTCAGAGGATCTTGAGATGAGTGCATCACACTTTAGATCTGGATCAAGACGACTACAGAGAAAGTTATGGTGGCAAAATTTCAGAGTGAGTACTGTCTATAAAGCTTGTCAGAGTTATGCAAAATTGTTAATGTTTCTAGTCTGTAGTTTGTACTTTGTATTAGCCTTCTCTGAGTCATTATTACTGTTATCAGCCAGCTGGGAGGTCGGGAATAGTGAAAAACTGTGACCGAGGTGTTGAAATTGCTGCCAAGGCTGCAGGCAAAGGGCAGCATTTCAAGTGTGTGGTCATAGCTTTTCACTATACGAGCCAACCCTAAGCCGGTAAATAACATTTTTTTCATTCCTCTAAAATATTGTATGACTGAGAAAATTACGTCACTTGATTGGCTGAGAACAGGCCAATTTATTGTTGATTCTTAATATGCAATGCAGTGCAAATTAATGTGTGCATGTTCGCAATTTTCTCAGCCCTATAATAAATGAGTAATCATATGAAAGCTAAAGCAATTAAGGATTTACACTACTTGTGACAGTTTGGAAATTCTTTCAAATTGCACTTGTTCAAATGCTCATGCAATTTTGAGAGAATTTTCAAATATTACTGTCTTGTAGTGTAAATCCTTAACTGCACTCACATTCATACGATTACCAATAAATACTAATTGCTGAGCTTTTCCACACACACATTGCATTTGTATTACTGTGATCGTGGTCAAAGGTAGGAAAATCCAGACTAAGCTGAAAACCAATCAGATCACCACATTCATTACCATGCCCTCTCAGAAAAAAATAATGCTTTTTATGACCGCACAGGACATTTAAGGTCAGCTTGATTGTGTTAAGTGTTGGTGAGAGTTCTTTGTACATGCATAGCCAGGATTGATGAATAATTGTCATCTTAGTTGATTAATTGATAAGGTTAATTTTGCATTGTCTGCTTTGACAGGCCAGACTTATTTTTCTTGAGATACTGTAAGTTGATGGGTTTGAGCACACATGCACTTGTAGCCACAAAAATTGCCATACATAAGGAGATCCAACCCTATTGCAGTTCTTTGACATATTGTGCAAAATGATTTTCGCATGTGCTTGCATGCATGCCCACTTGATTGACTCTGAACAAAATGAGGGACTATTGCACATGTAGAATAAGCCAGATTGGAGTTAAAATTATTTCAATTCTGTATCTAAATACAAATATCTTACTACATTGTACATTGTAGTACAACATAGTAGTGGCAGCGCTTAAAAAGGTGGCTATGTATGTTAAGGCCTTGTGCTTCTCATGACACAATAAGAGCTGATGATGATGATTATGACAATATGTACTAATAGGTTTTTGTCTTAATATCTTGCTTTTGGTCTTCCTTTTCAGCTCAAGTTGATCTTTGCCTTCATTTTTATCGTTATTCTAATTGTTATCATAGGTAAGTTCAGTTAACCCCATGCTACAACAAAATGGATTGACAGAATTGCACTGTTAAGAATCTTTTTTAAGATATCTATTTTTGTCAAGTATTTATATGAAAAAAAAAGGTTCCAGCTGACTGTGCCAAAACTTGGCCTTTCTTGGTTTGCACATGGTCTATATGTCTCCACTTGTCCCTGATACTTAAGATGAGACAAAGCCAGTCAAGTTGAAAGTTCAAACTGAGTGGCACTGTTCATCAGGTCAGCCTGCACGTTAAGCCGACTTTGTGATTTGACCAGTATGCATTTTGTTGCTTTTGGTGTAAAAATATCAATGTATAATTATGACTTGACACACTTGAAGTTCTTTTGCCTGGGTGCCTTGGGATGTAACCAAGGTCAACCCACCACATGGGAAAACTTTTCTCCATATGACAAGTCCCTTACTCAACTTTAAATTCACAAATTCCTGCCCTACAGCAACAGCACATTGCAGTTAATAGTTCATAAACCAGTGTTGTTACTGTGTGCATACATGTTTATGCTGTGGAACAGTAAAATATTTAAAAAGACAAATCACAAACCAAGCACTGGTGGTCTTTCTCAAACTACCTCAGTGATTCAATTTAGCACCCGAGGTGCTTATTACCTTTGGTACCTCAAGGGAGGGCACTTATTCGCAACAGGGCGCTTATTTGGGACAGGGCGCTAATTTCTTTTTTTGAGAAACAACTGAATGCTCAAAACAAAACTTTAATACGGTAAGACCCACAGTTGATAGGTACTCTGATGGCACTGTAATATTATAATATTAGAATAGGGGCCCCCTTTTGAAATGGGAACGCTTATTGGAATAGGGGTGCTTATTAAAAAAAAAACACATTAAAAGGGGGTGCATATTCAAAAGGGGGCGCTTATTGGAAGGAGGGCATTAAATTGAATCATTACGGGATTAAAACTAGTTGTGTCATTGGATACTAATGTAGTTCGTCTAGGCTGAGCATAATATAAACTGTAGGCTGCATGCATTGTGAAGCAAAACATAGTATAATATATTTGTTAAAAAAATGAGTACTTTACCATCATTTTCATTGTACACTGACTGTACTCTATATTTCTTACTGATTTTTGTTTTGTTTCTTTGTTCGTAGTTCCAATCGTCCTCAAAAGTAAAAAGAAATCAGACGACCCCAGCAGTTGAAGAAGTGTTTAAAGAAATATTAATTATTTGTATAACTACATGCATGTATTTACAGTGAGGGGGCTTACAGATTTGTCCCTGGCCTGCTGATGGCATATAGCAGAATTAATTACCCTGAAGTGTTGAAAAATTTATTGCAGACGTGTACTTGTACATAGAAATATTAATGTCAGAGTGTCAAGATCAAAGGAAAGATTGTCTTTTAAATGTTATGCAAGTCAGTTATTTATAGTAAAATGGATTTATTGGCCCTCCGTGACCCATACGTATTGTAAAATGTGATCGGTGATTCGTCAAACAGAAAGCAATCTTTTGAATGAGTAGGTTATTTTAAAGGTGCTACGTCACGGTTTGTGCTTCCCGAAAAGTTTAGCCTATTTTTTTTTTAAGTTCATTGTGTATAGACCGTGTTAATCTTCTCAGTCCTTAACCATCCTAGTTTCTCTATGGTTTATTACATGTATTATCTCTATTATTTCCATCAATTTAAAGTTAATTTTGCACATGGGCAGAATAACACAAAATGCCGTGACTGAACTCCTTTCAGTGTGAATGAAATGCATACAGTACATAGAACTCAACCTCGATGCCAGGCTTTCTCTCCTACTCCTCTCTTCTCGAGGGATAGAGGAAAGGACTCTGGAAACAAGGTTGTATACAACAGTATGAGTGGTACCATTTATCGCATTATGCAAGAATCTTTTCGTTGGGGGCGAGGATAGAGTAAAATGCAGTTTGAGATTATAAAGAGGTTGACGATGTGACCCAATGTAATTGTTAGGAACTTCAGCCGTTGAGCAACATAATGCTTAGTTTTTGTTTGTTTGTTTGTTTCTGTTTTTGTTTTGTTTTTTGCCTTGCTGTTGTTAAGGGTTGCTTACCATGTGTGTTTGATCCAATCTGGGTCAGACAGCAATTGAAGTGACTCATATCAATGAAAGAATAGTTTTCGGAAACGCAATGTCTCTTAAGATGTTTATTTTTTTTCCCGCCGTCTTTGGACTGTAAAGATCTTGTCAAACCAAAATGTTATTGCACGGAATGGTACAATGTCCATTTTCTCAGGGGGAAAAAATGTTCTGTTGCATTTGTCAAATAATTTTCACCTAAAAATGCTACGCATGTGGTAATCATACGGCATTTGTTTTTACCAGTATGGAGGTCCATATACAAGTAGACTGTAAAGGTTGCGTCAAACTTAAGTGTAAATGCACCGATTGGTACAATGTTCATTTTCCAAGGGGAAAAAAGTATGCATCGTTGCATTTGCCTAATGATATTTACTGAAAAAGTCCATGCATATTGTAATCATACGTCTTTTTCCAGAATACTCTCAACTTCACGTTAAAATCATAAGTTTTCTATTTTATAAGAGCGAAATCATATGAGCTCTTTTCGAGGACGATTTTTTTTTTTTTTTTTTTTTGCACTTACACCTTTTCCTCTAATGAAGTAAATAGTTTCACTCGATAGGTTTACGTAATAATATCCAAACCTTGCTCCTTCATGGCAGGATTGCCACAAGGTAGCTATTTCAATGAGTCCTGAAACAAAAACAAACATTTTGAGTCAGTCAAGTTGCATTTCAATGCTTGATTTTTCATTTCAAGACTTCTCTGTTTGTGGTCTTGAACACCACATTGCAGTGAGTGTGAGTCATTTTTACCTGTCAGCTCCTCACAAACTGTGTTATCTTTTCTTAACTCTTTTCACGGTTATAGAGGGGAATAATTATGAAACCCGACAAATTTCTTTGTTGCAGGTTTTCGTTCGCTTTTTTGGCCTTGACCGTGTACAAAACACAATAGTTATTTACTCCGCACCAAGGATTTAACCAATATAAACGTTTCGGTTACGGAATTCATGCATAGTGTATGAGCCCGAAGCATAAGATTGAGTACGGTCATATGGACCTTCCAACACAAATCTTGGCATATTTGTTTGTTCTACAAGTAAATTTTAAAAATAGTGTTAAGACACTTAATGGCGGTATAAATCAACCCACCACCACTATTAAACGTCATCAAGCGCCATTAAGCGTCTTCTTAACACTATTTTTAACATGTACTTGTAGTGTAAAAGACGCTACGCAGTTTCTTCAGTACTGTATTTGTTTGCTCCTTTGATATTTGCCGGGTTTCATAACCATTTCTCTTTCAAAGCTATGTCACAGTTAACTTTTCTCCATAGCATTTCATATAAATCCAACATGTATGTGAGGAATTTTTTCCAGTTTCTCCCTGAAATTGCAACGTTGGATCCATCAACGTTGGATCACATTGTAGTGCAAGTGACAAAAGTTGATCAACAAAAGGGCTATTGTTCCTGATCCTTTACGCAAAGGTTACCTGGTGCGAAGAGAAAACGGAGCAAGTACTTTCTTCTGGCATGGAAAACTATTTTATTAGACCATCGTCACAACAAAAGATTGTACTGATACATTAAAACTTGCGTCTAAGTCAACGATTCATTGTTGATCAGGACACCAGTCAAAATCCTCTTATTTTAACTTCGCTTGATGGATCAAAATTTAGCGCGCAGAAGGCGGAATCGAACCGCTCCGATGCTAATCGGCTACAGGTTTGAAGCCTGCACCCCACACCAGTGAGGGTCATCCGCGCACCCTTTCATAGTCTACACCTGCCTTTATATTTGTCACAATATTTAACACCTTACAATTGTGGTACGACAAATCCCACACAAGCCTTGTATTTTTTTTATTTTATTTATTTTATTTCATTTTATTTTATTTCTGCCTCGATGGTGAAGTGTTTGGCTACCAAAGGGATCTTTTGTTGTTGTTCTACTAAAAAAAAACCTGAACCGATTGAAACAAAAATCTAATTCGGTTTGAAATTAATGATTGTGCGCATGCGCTTACAAAACAAGCTTGTTCAATCTCGTTCCCAGAGCCCACGTGTCTGTTGGTTGGCGCCAGCCAAAAGACACGTGGGCTCTGGGAACGAGGTCGCCATGTTGTAAACCAAGGCACGCATGCGCCGTGAAACCGGAACTCCTAAAATCTTGGAGTCTGGAAATTGATTATCTAGAGCTCCGTGTCTTGGCGCTGACCAAAAGATACGTGGGCTCTGGGAACGAGATTGAGGCTTGTTTCGTCGGTTTCACCAGCAGGAAAAATAAAATAAAAAACGTTAAGGTGAAGTTTTCAAGTAATCTTTATTTCTTTGAGTTAATAGCATTCCAGAACATTTTTTGACCCACTATAAGCCGTGCAATCATAACTGCTGGCAGAGTGAGAAACAGCTGTCTTCTACCATTGGGGATTTGTCAATAGAATTGCCAGCTAGACTCCCAGTTCAGACTGATGAAGGGAACATAGAAAAAGAACGGCGAAAAGTCTAGCCCATTTGTCACACCTCATCGAACCCAATTTCAAGTACATGTATGTCGACAAAGTCAACATTCTCCTCCTCCCGAACGAGAAAGGGACGGAAATCCTACATTAGAGAATCGTATATGGGACTTCTAGCGAACCTTCCTGATCTTATCAAGTCAATGATTCTCCAAGAAAACCGAACAGAAACAATTCGCAAATTTCATCACAGTACGGTCAGTGAAAAGAGTTGATACCGTTCTAAATCCAGTTTAAAAATGTGTCACAGACTTCATTTTAGGATGAACTAATTAAAGGGCTTTACAAGGTTGACACATAAAAAGAAAGTGACTAAGTTTGGATCCCGAAAATTACTTGGTCACAGAAAAGACTATTGAGGGGTAGGGGCTCTGAGAGGCCAGTTGCACACACCCAGCAAAAAATTGACCCGAGTACCCTCCCCCAAGGGTTCTTAAGTAGTTTACCGTCTTAAAAATTTGAGAAATAGATATTGAACAGTCTTACAGCGCCGTGAGAAAATAGAATTTTAATATCATAAAACCAAGTGTAAAACTCACACTCTGTCACAAAACGAATGAGATACGTAATTCATTTCATCTTCTTACTTTCTTTAAAGACGGATATTTCATTAAAGCTAACACGCATACAGCTTTCATAAAACATGACCGTCAAGTAGTCGTTAATGTTCTATTGACAAAACACAAGTTCAGTGTAATTTTTGACTAAACTTTAAAAAAAAAAAACTTGGATTCATTATAATTAATTTTCCTGAGCATGATCGTTGATTTCCGGATAAAACACGCATTTGTAAAAGGTTTCTCATCGTTAAAACGACTAAAATATCATTAGAAAATTACACGTAAAACGTTCAGCCCATCATTCTATCTGGTCTCCTCCGAATCCGATTTTGGTAGTCACGCAATATTTCTCCAGTTCCTCTAAAAGCGTGACCGCCCAGAAAAAGGTTACGAAACTATTACAGACTAACACCAGATACGTTAACGCTTAAGGTAAGCTAGCCAAATCTCTCTTTGGTGCCACGCCAGTTGGCTTCGCTTTCTCCTTCTTCTTTTCTTCGAACATCAAGATCCTACCAAGAGATTTGAGATGCAATAAGTTAAGTTTCGTTCCTCGATGGTCAATGGTGTGGTGTGTCGCACATGGAAAACAATTTTACACTTGTTCCATTAATTATATCGGGTGAAATGCCAAATGGTCTGGGCACAGATCGAAAAGTGTATACTTGAACGGCAGTTTTGGCGAGTTTTGGGGTCATTTTGGATGTTGGATACTCCTTTATAGGTCAACTCGAAGACTTTAATTTTTTATACTTTCTATGCTTGTCCGTTTTCAGGGTTGAATCTTGAAGCACCCCCTTACTATTATTACTGTTGTATTGTATTTTCTTTCTCTACGCTGGAAACGTTTTTAAATAGATGCGAGAGGGTTGTCCCTTGTTTTTTTGTACAACACACTAACGTTAGGTGTTACCAGAATTATTGCCTTCCTATTTACAGAAGAAGTATTTAACATGGACTTACAATTTCAAAACAGATGACTTCTTTCCAAGCATCATAGTTAGAAATTCAGGATAAGTAATCGTTCCTGTAAGAAAAATAAACTTCTCCTTACTACGAATAAACTAAATATTCATATAATAATATGTAACGAAAAAGCGGCGATGTAAGAATTAACGTTTTTATGCAGTACAAAGCCAATACAAGGACCAGTAAAGCGATATTCGGATTGGGGTGTTGGTGGGAAAACAAGCAGAATGAGGAAATAGATATCAGTAACGCAGTTGTAACCAAGACCTAAGGGTGTTCGCCATTTGTTAGAAGCAACCCCTCGGGATGACTGTTCAATAATGGTGACGGTTTCTTCAAAATCAGCAAACAAGCCGAAAGTGATGATTCTTATTACGGTGGAATCCCGATCTTTCGAACCTCTAAGAGAAACGAAAATTTGGTTCAAAAAATCGGATAGTTCGAGAAATCAGGGGTAAAATTGCAGTGTTTGACTGAGGAGGGGAAAGGACTTTTGGTTCGAGTTATCGCGGGGTTCGAAAAAAATGAGGGTTCGAGAAATCGGGATTCCACTGTATTTACAATTCGGATTTTGGTTATTGTTTCGCCTGATGTGATATTGAAGTGATTCATTCCGGTCTCCAGAGGCTGCAGTTCCTGGTGCTGACCAAAAGGACCGCGGTCTCTGAGGATATTGATTTTGACCAAGAAAGTGCGCATGCGCAACTTTCGGCTCGTCCCCTTTTAAAACAGACCTGAGTTTGTTGTGTCAACCTCAGCGATCATCTTCTTGAGTTCAAGGTGGGTCTTCGCTTGTCCGAGCTTTTCCATCATTCGTTTGAGCTCCATAATGTCTGAAATGAAAAGGATACAGATACTAATAGGGGAAATGAAAACGCGTAGGTTGGTGTTCTTTGCGCCTGTAAACTTTTTTACTCTACATCTTCAATCGGGCACACCAAGAATGATTATTGCTGCCGACTGTTGAAAACCAGCCTTGATAGAAGTCTCTGCGTGGCGCATAAGCATAAGCCGACTTCCCGAGGACGCAGTATTAAGAGACTGATAATTAGCGCCTTTTGTAGAAAATTTCCCGAACAAAAGACGCTAATTATCAGCATCTTACTGCGTCTGCATATGTCGGCATGTGCTTAGATGTATGCTTAAGCGCTGTGAAACCCAGCTTTAAGTAATCAAATCACAACAACATCAAATCTACAAGGGAAGGCGCATGCTGCAGCCGAGTTACAAAGCCACGCAGGAGAGAGGGAAGGGTGTTCCGGGTAGCTTTGTCTTGTGTCACTGCTTTCATGTGTAAATGTATATGACATGAATTTTTTTCCTGGTTTTTTGGTTCTTTGAAACATGCAATAAAGGTAAAAAAATAGGAAGGAAAGCTTTTTTTGTTATTTTCTGCCGTCTGATGAAGTTCACTAATTTCTGCATATAAAATTGTTCCGAAGACTGGGAACGAGAATGTCTGCCTGTGACGTTGTGCAATATTGATTGAAGTCTCTGCGCGGCGTAAAGCTTTGAGTCAGTTCACATTGCCCGTGGTTACATGTTGGGTTTTATTGCTTACAATGGCCAGTGACTCGAAATGTATGCCAGCTACCGTACAATGAAAGAAGGTTGTCGAAAGGAAGCGGTTTGCCACTTATTTCATTTTATCTGCTGTTGACTAGCTGTCAAGGATAGGGCATCTTTTGGTTGTTAATATTTATCATAAGTCAACTCAACTCGCAAATGCTTTAGTAAGAAGAGTTTTCATGACGCCACAGGGGGAATAAAAATGTCACGCCTTACATGTTTAATAGCGTGACGCATCACTCCCTCCTTGCTCGCCTTTTGTTTATATGCGTTTCACCTCCCTTGCGGTTTCGTAAAAAAACCCGAATGAATCAGTGGTCCGATTGCATTCTATCTCATGCTTCTTGAGATGGTCGAACTGGAAAAAGCGCGATCAGTTTTGCGGCTTTTGTTACAAGTGACAATCTGGATGAAACCTTTGTGCTTGGATATAGCGTTGAGAAAATTTTTCCCTTAGCGGCGCGTATTCCCGAGGGTAAAATGGCAGAAGTAGTTATTAGTTGCGTTTCAGACAAAGTTCGATCGATAACAAGCGGAGATGTATTGTTACTTCATACAAACCACACAAAACATAAAAATAACAAGCATTAAATTGCTGACCCGTTTTACTTCCTTTTCATCTATAAAGGTTCCGAAAATAAACACGGACGTAAATTACCATACATGATAATGGCCTGGTTTGAAATACAAAACGAAATATCCAAATTTATCTGTTGATTCCAAACAAAGCTATATACATAATTGAGAATATTGCTCAAGAAAGAAGTAGTAAAATTTCCAAATATAGCTAGACGTCTCTATTGACATAACTTGTCATATTTACTTCGCATTTAGATCAATCAAGCGGACAACTCACCAATGTCACCCGAGTTATCTTCGTCGAATTCCATGAACTGTTCTGCAAACGACGAAAAGATAAAAATATAAAGAAAATAGATTAAAACCACGGATGAAATTACAAACATAGAAAACTTGAATAAAGGCGTTTTGTTTCACGGCAATCATCTTTTTGCATTTATATAAATTTAATTATGCAAGTGAATTTAAAACAACGTGACTCGCCCGGACAAGACTTACTTTTGTACGATTCCAAACGTTCATTGAGATCCGGATAGTCCTCCTCGTCATCGTAATCGCCGCTAGTCACGAATGACTGGAATTAAAAAATGAGGAATTTATCATTTGACTTATATGTAGGCCATTGACAAGAAATGATTAAAATGCAACTTTAACCCCGACGGGTTGAAATTACGATTAAGGTTTCAATTTCGAAAATCACTTGGCGTCATCTTCGCAGCTTAAGCTTTGGAGGCGTTTAATAGAAGCAATGTCTTGACCACAAATGCAGACCAAAGAGAATTAAAACACAGTTTAAAAGTTTGAGCTGAAGAAACCGGAAACGCAAAAGATCAATAGATGTGATGCGATTTATTGGTTTACATATGTGCTACTCGACACGCTTCCAATCTAAGTTACCTTGTTGATCTCATCAAGATCTGTCTCTTGTACTTTTCGAAGCTGGCCGTAGCGCTTTCCACCTAAAAGAACACATGATCAGCACGAAAATTTATGAAACAAGCACTGATCGAAAACTCACACAAACCTTGATAATCAGAAGTCATCTCTTCGCTGGTTCGACTGGCCTCGGAACCTAAACAACTCTTGACTACCGCGGACTGGCCCTCAACTCGTCATTTAAAAGTTATAAATTAGGCATGGGCCAATGAAAAACGTACTTTGATTGGCTTCAGTTATAATTATGCAAACACCCTTGAGCTGTACCGGAAGTCATTTCATCCGTGACATGCCTTAATATTCGGTTTCTACAGCTGGCTTTCTGAGCTTACGAGGACTAGAAACTTTAAATATTTGATTGCTAAATTGTTTATATTGAAAAGTAGCGATGGTTGGAAAAGCGTTTTGTAAAGAATGTACACGTTTTAGTCCACTCCGAGTGAACCTGAAATGCGAGGAAACAGGAGACCGTGATATATTTCGGAAGAACGTCTGGGAGTTGAAAGTTGATCATCTCTTCTGGCAGAAGTTCAGCTAAAAACCACTAATATATTAAATTTCATGTCTTTGGAAGTATTGATCGGTCATATCACGAGCAACGTTATCTCATAACAGAAAGTAAAATATTTCTTGTGCTTCAGCAAATTTCTTCCGTCGCCTATTTAGTGAAAGACGTTTCGATACTTCCTTGTTTATTTTTTATTTCGGAAGGGGTGGGCGCCAGCTTGATTTTAGGGTTCCTTCAGTAAGATTGTTACCTTTTATGGTAAAGCTTTGTTTCGGAGCTGAATCCAATACTTTCCTTTCATAGTGTGTTAGAGAAAGAACCGGTGAATATATGCCTTGTATTGTTTGGCTACCTAATGGAAACCCCTTCAAGAATTGTGCATTTTGAATATATCTTTATCATTTATGTTTGTAACTTGGTACACTTCCATTTACATCATTCAAGTGACACTCGGCATGGGTGACGTTCTATGAATCATCTGATGGACAAGGGCGCTAGTCCGAAGTCACGCGACGCTAGGAAGAGCGTTGCGTGACTATAACTTGCTCTGCGTACGGCATGTTCTCTGACTGTAGCTTAACCTCTTCGTTGACCGCTTGCCGGCGGTCTTTTCTTGATTTTTTGGTCTCGACGAGTGTTTCTTTTGGCGAGCGCGAACACAAAAAGGGTGCATGGACGAAGAAAAGCTGGGATCGTCCAGCAATCTTTCCTTCCTCTGAGAAGGAAAAATGACGAACCCAGAAAGCGTCTGAGTAGCAAGCTATTAAGTCTATAAAAGGACAGAGTCTACACTGACACGCTTTCTGGGCCACAGCATACCCAAGCTCAAGCTGTGAATCGGCGAAATTCTCGCGCATTTAAAATATGAAAGAATGCGAAAACATGCGGACACTTGTTCACTGTGATGATAAAAAAATGGGTGCCTCTCGGTATAACTGTATAAAATCTTAAAACAAAAACAAACTGAACGTAGAGTGGTTGCATCGCTGCACGGTTCCCACCAGGAACCCATCACTATGAGCGCGCAACTATCCCACATTCCTGTCACGTTCACAGACCTATCTATAGAGCGTTTTCATAGTCACGCAATAACAAATAAAATCAAAAACCATTCAGTGGATAAGGTCAAGAAATTGTAATAATACAGAAGATAAATAAAGAAGTTCTCCAATTTTAAGGTGTGTGCGTTATCCCAAAGTAGAGATATTCGTCGAAATGTTCGGCGCAAATTTACAGAGCCTAGTATGGAGCCGCCATGTTGGTGTTTCTAAGTGGTACACCAACATGCATGGTGGCCGGAAAAGAGTGTTAACATTTGGAACTTACTTTGGTTATCTAGGACAATGATTATCTGCACTGAACAAATAAACATTTAAATAAGCACTTTTCCAAATACGTCTTAAATGGCTAAAGATCATGAGATAAATACATATATTTCGACAAACGCGATCGTAGCTTTGTGTCACGCATCGCCATAACTTGGAAATTCAAAATGCGCTGGTTTCCAAACGAAGAGCGCTATTGAGCTGGAGAGTTGTAAACAGATATAACTTTAGTACCTCTTATGCCTAATGAGGATAAAAACTTTGGTGGCTCTTTAGGTTTGGATTTACTTAAGAATTAGATGACGTCACGTGAAAACGCTCTATTTTTATTTTAGCCTGCGTAACACGCGTTCCCTTTCAAAGAGCTTTTCCCCGTTCTGGCCGCACGTAAATTGGAGCGAGAGCAAAAATTCCACGAAGGTCCCTGCTTCGTCAAATTTTTGCTCTCACTCCAATTTACGGGCGCTCAGAATGCGGAAAAGCTCTTCGTACGAGAACACTTGCTACGTAGCCGGCTATTTTTAGTTTAAATTTACTGGGAATTCAGTCCCCCGCGGGAACCTCAGTGACCAATCACAAGCACGGAATTAAAAATAGAGAAGGAATTAGCGTGTTTTATTACTTATGTCCACCTGAGACCGCCATTTTTATCCGTTACCGACCGCGCTCTCATGCATAACTGAGCTGACTTATTCCGCGGGAAAAGAAGCTTAAAAATAGACCAGTCTGTAAAAATGCCGTGACATAGGCTTATTATGGAAGGAGCGCGCACGCTCCTAGTGATAGGCTCCTTGTTCCCGCGTAAAGAATTAAAAAAAAAAAAAAAAAGAAAAGAAAACTGTATGCCATGCATGTAGTAACTGTGCAGTGGAATTCCGATTTCTTGACCCTGAATTTTTCGAACTTCCCGATAACTCGAAGCAAAAGTCGCTTCCATCTCCTCAGTCGAACACTGTAATTTTACCCTCGATTTCTCGAACCATCCAATTTTTCGGACCAATTTTCGTTTCCCTTGGAAGTTTGAAAAATCGAGATTCCACTATAATTGCCAAAAAGGCAAAAAAAGATAAAAAATCAGGTAGAGGTACTTATTTCAACGCAACTGAAAAGGTCTGGATGGGGTATGCAAATGTCAGTTGTCAGTTAAAATTTCGTCTATTTATCAGTTGTCAATTAAATTTTAGGCCATTTGTCAGTTGTCAGTGAAGTGACTGTTAATAATTAACTAAAGGCCTTAAATGGCTCAAACCTCTCCTAGTTGGCCCCTTTTATAGTCAACGAAGTCTACGAAGTAAACTTTTGCAGCTGATGTTGTTCCTTAAGGTAGAACAGGCTTTGAAAAATAATACATATTATACATATACTTACTCCTCCCTGGTCATCTATCTGGCACGAGATAGAAACCGAGATCGAATGATTGAATAGTCACACGGCAAACATACTTCCATTGGATAAACTGTAATGCAAGGACCACTTGTACAAACAGCAACGGAGTGAAGCCGGATCTTGGTTTGGATCAGGATCAGCAGTGTAAAATAAAGCATAAAACCGATTAAAAGGCTGACCGGACGGCTGAAAAGAATCCTTTTCAGCCGTCCGGTCAGCCTTTCAATCGGTTTTATACTTCCATTGAGTCATTACATTCCGATCTATTTATGTTTTTTCGTCAGTCCTCTATTGATCTTTCTTTCTGTGTCACAAAATAGTTTATGGTCATTTAAGTTCATGCACTCTGCGAACAGAGCCTCTTTTATAAGAAAAGGCTCTGCTTGCAGGGTGCTTATCATGATGCTGGTTCTTTACTCATAATGCTGCATTCAGCTTCTCCATACTACCACATGCAATGAGCTCAATTCCTGTTTCCAACTTTGCTGAGTCATATGTCAGTTTTCTGGCTTTGTTAACACGCACAGAAAAGTTGATCTCTTCAACGAGAATGAGTTAAGTAATGATAAAAAAACGAACAGCAGTGTTTTATCAAATTTAAAGACACTCGATAAACATTCATTTCTTTTATATTCCCTTTATGAATTATTTATGAGTTTTTGAAGCATTTTCAATTAATCATGTCAAATGCAAATTCAATATTCTGGACATAGATTAACCTCTTGGATATTCGTTTGTTATTAATGAAATTAACTGATGACAATTGTATTTTAAACTTTGTGATTTGTTTTTGTTTAATCAACTGCCTCGTCTACGCATTTTGTTTTAACAAATTCTTCTGTGACAACACCTGGAGATCATTTCAACTAGTATTGTTAATATTATTTGTATTTCCCCATTGTTTGGGCATCCAGTACAGAATTTGGAGTACTCCTTAAATTTGCCAAATGTTGGCGCTTCCTTCAGCCGAATGTTCTATTGTCATCTGATGTCCGCTACCCACTGGAGGTTCAGCTGAGCCTGAAAAACAAACATAAAACCTCCAAATGATTGTTCATTATCTTTTTAGTCTTTTGAAAAGTGTGTATTGACTCGACACTATGGTCGGTGTATGCCCGTTAATTGTATTTTGACCCGTCTACGAGCTCGTCAACTGATACATGTACAGCGCGAATTGCCTGCCATACCAGACATTAAGCCACCTTCATTTATATAATGACATCAAATAAGTTTAATTTTGATGTATATCGGTTATCCTAAGGAAAAATATTAAGCAATTAAACACAACAAGAAATAGCGTCTTTCTCTTCCTTAGAGTATGAACTTTTGTTTTCGAGGCATCTGTGACGGATTTTTGACCAAGTCATTTTAGAGCCCATTTTATAGGCATGATCCTCTCGTTTTCTTGAGATATTTTCGCATTTGAAGAGGTTAGATTTCCACAGCTTCCTTTTGTTAAATTCTCCTCGTTCACCTCGGTTACGTTACTTCACTAATCTTTATATTCGGGTGAAAGAATGGAAACACTTCCTTTTGAGAACAGAAACTGAAAGAGAGATGTAATTATTATATCGTGATCTCCCGGTTCACTCCCAGCAGTGAAGGATACTCATGATGCAGCCTTTTCAGTGTCCAGTGTTCACGCGGCATGTACCCAGTAATCATCAGGATATAATCTCTTGATGAAGGTTCTATTCAACACTGAATTAGATCATGAGATTGCTATCACGCATGGATGAGAGCGAGTAATCTAATTAGTTGAGTATAAATTTACTAGTAATTCAAAGCTATTATCTAAATCCTCTTCACATGCACTTTGAAAACGCAAAGAAGCGGCCGCCAGTTTTTTTTTTTAGAAAAAGCGCACACTGCTAGGCTACTCACCATCCACAACAGAATAGATAGCGAGTAGCGTAGCCAATCAGAGAACGGTATTCGTGATAGAACGCTAGTAGATTCATACTATTCAGAGATATTT